AGCAGGGCTATAGGATTACCTTTTGGATCTCCTCACTTGCTAATGTTGAATATCTTAACTCATAGTATTTAATACATATCAATATAGTCCTTTAAATAAACGATGTCTCTGGGGCCCAGAAAGCAATTGTAATACAAGCAGTGTTTAACTATATGAAATTAAGTATTTAAATTCCATATATGTTAAAGGTTGAAATAATATGGATGAACCTAATTATTCAATAGAGGTTTGCATACTTGGAGTTACAGTTTGCTCTCAGTTTACATGTATAATTCCCATTAATATTAAATAGGAGTTACAGGGGCATCTCAGGACAAAAATGTATGCCCTCAGAATTTTAAAAAGCCAGTTTAATATACCTCCCTGAGTGGCAACCCACCCTAATTTAGAATTGCAAATACTATTCTCAACAGCAGACTCTTGCTTTGTTAAGATAAAAGATAAGCATTGAATTTTCCATAACATTTGAAGGTGTTATTCATAAGAGCACCAATTCTTCACTCACATTTGTGGGAGCGAACTGCTGCATCCATGCAGAAACACATTCACTCCAGTGAGACTCTGCACAGATGTAAGGATCTGCCCAAATGGACTGCACTGCACAGCTGCATCAATGACAGCCACGCATCCATTTTTACCATTGATTTCAAGGGGAGTAAATGAGTGCTTTGAAAATCTCACTTTATGTGAAATATTTTAACTGGAATTAAACAAACGAAAAATAGACGGCTGCAAGCACAGTGTTAAGTAGTTGGCGTTAGAGACAGCTAGTAGGAAACAAACAAGCAAATTAGCTAAAAAAGGAATAAATGAAGAAATAGTGCTATAGCTTTGTACAAATGAAAACAAATTTACTAGAGTAACAAAATACTGCCCCTGTAAATTACTACCCCTGGAGCCCTCGGCACTCAGACACAACCCCATCAGTGTTAGGACTGTAGGTTTCTTGAGGCAGGAATCTTATTAATAATTATTATTTACATTGTGGTAGTGCCTATGAGCCCTAGTCAAGGACCAGAACTCCACTGTGCTAGGCACTGTACAAACACGGAACCAAAAGATTGACCTTTGTCTTCCTACCTGTCTAAAAATTCTAGAGCACTTGTTTCTATATATGACATAAATAATAAAAGGCAATAGAATTTATTTTAAAAAGCCACCTATAATTTTAATCCAATTAATGAACATGAAATATCAACATAATGCCCTTTGTGGGGAAACCGGGGCTCAAGGGATGTAATGCCTTTCACCTCAATGTCTTCAACATACATGCTGATACTCAGTCTTTTCACCCAAGCCTCAGCCTGAGAATTCTCCAAAAGCCTTTGAGACTGACATTTGGTGATGCCACAGTCATCAGTGTCACAGGATCAGATGCCAGTTATAAAGATGACATTCATTAAAACCAAAGGGGCAGGCTGCAAAGAATACAGGACTTCAGTTCTTGAGTTTACCATTGCCCCAATTTGCCTAAAGTAAATTGATATAGTCTTTTCCCGACTGAATTGTTACTGAAATATTTTATTGAAATGTATTAGATGTCAGGTTTTTGTTTTGAAACAGTAGAAATCAGAAGGGAAATCTCAGGCTTTTAAATTTTCCATTGTCAGCAAGTATGGCCTTCAGTTCATATACAGCCCAGCTTGGCAGTGACTGAAAGGTATTATCTCCCATGACTAGTAAGTGGCACAATATAAACTGTGCTTGATGGCTTCCTCTTAGGTTCAAATGAACAAGTGTCTACATCCACATCACTTGTAGAATATATTTTAAACAATGAAACAAGCAAAGTGCATATTGACAATGACAATGCACTGTGTTTTTATTAAGTAGTAAACTTCCGAAGTACTAATTGACCCTGTTCACTTTCTCCTGAAGATGAAAACAAGACACAAAAATTGAACTTTTCTGATCAACATGTATTGGAAGCATCTCTACACGGGCCATAATGAAGACATATTAATAATCTCATCATTTAATCCTTCTTTCAAACCTCTGTTTGAAATTCAAACCCTACAATCCCCAATTATGCTTTATACCATTAGCATCTAATATTGTATACTGCCAACTGCTGCACTTTAGTGGTGTCCTTTAACACAGGTTGAATTTTGCGGCAACTGAAACTTTCAATTTGCAGTTCACGTTCACAACAGATACAGCAAAGCTACTCCCCAGCTTCCTTTTGTACAATGTACATCATATTTAACTGAGACTTCTGCAACAAAGAATTCCACAGCAAGAGCCCGGATTACTGCGGATCATAATACCCTATGAGCTGTGGTTATAATTAGCGTCATATCCATTGTAATCCTATGGACGTCATCGTGTGTTACCAGCATCTGTTGACAGATCTCATACCATGCATATCAGTGAAATGGCAAGTCTGGAGAGGGCAGCCCACAATAGAAACAATGGCATTTATTTTTGTCCTCTTCCAAGATTGTCTCATAGAACATATATGCTGCCAACTGCCAGTGTTGCACTGAGATCACTATTCATTATTATATTTGAACAAAGCTTCGTGCCCATGCATTTACAGCCTTCTCCTGGTAAATATGGAAATGGACTTTCTGTAACTTATTTTAGCACCCTGAAAAAATGATTTTGACACCCTTAGATCACTTCAGATCCATCAGGCCATCTACTGAGATATTATTAATCCAGGGGAAAATATACTATCAGACTCCTTTCCAAGCCAAGGAATAAGAATGCCCTCTCTTAGTTATTTTTAAATATATGTATCACTTTGGCATTTGTTTTAAATGCACGTGGCAGACAAAGTAACAAAGCCACAATATAGCTAATCTACTGATGTGCTCTGAACTGCTAACTTTCCACTGAAGCATTGTCTAACTGGAGTGAAAAATCAAACTGGTTTAGACCAAGGGATAGAAATGTAGAGTCCACTGTTGGTGACTCACATGAGCTTTTCCCTGTCCTACTCCCTCCAAACAAACATTAAAAATGTGCAACGGATTAACTGCTAACAAAAATAAACCCAGATTCTCTGCATATCTGATTTTCACTCTAGGAAAACTCCTCTGGAGAGTCCAAGAGTTATTCAACTGCCACACTATTAAAAAACCCTCAGTACTTTGTCTTCTTACCACAGCATTCTGTGCATCTGCCCACTCTGCCAAGAACATAGACTCAAATAGGGCACAAGATCTGTTTTATCCTGGATGCTGCAGTCTTAGGAATTCAATATTTTCAAGGAAAGTAAATCCAGTTGATGCTATTTGGAAATACAAAACTGTTGTGCAAAACTGCAGTTGTTATGCAATGTGGTTTTTTGCTGCATAAGAAACTGTTTTAGGTCCTTAGAGGAACTATAAACACCATACTTTTCAAAATGAACAATCTCAATTTTCTAATACTGAAAAGCCTTCCATGCTTTAATTGCCACATAAGTGCAGTACATTAAAATCACTTGCTCACCAGGTAAAACGAATGTCCAGCTAAAATAAATCTCAATGATGACTGATGTAGTTTTATTACTGGTTCAGAGGATACAACTGAAATAACAGATTCAAGTATTCAAGATATGCCCACAGAGTGCACATTACCTACACACAGTAGTGTCTGAACAGATGGTACCATGCCAGGTCCTGAAAACTAAACAAACAAAAACAAAAAAATAAAAGGAGGAGAAAGGTTTGCAATTTTGCTAGAAGTAGAAATTTAGGGTGAAATCCTTGCCCTATTGAATTTAATGGGGAAAAAGGACCCATCAACCTATGGTTAGGATTTCATCCTTAGTTTCCTGCTAAAAGCAACTAATGGCTCTTACCTTGACAGGGAGGTTATATATAGAGGGTAGGTGTTCAATAGGCTGAATTCTGCCTTCAGATACACATATGCAACTTCCACTGAAATTTTCAACGGGAGCTCTTCACACATAGCAAAGGACAGAATTTGGCCCAATTGCCTGATGGATACCACATATTTTATTTCTGCAATTAGCAGATGACCTCATAACTCCAGATCTTACAGCTATGAATTTCAACGCTATTTGTTACTTTAGGAAATAACAGAAATATTTCACGTGATCATCCCTTTCCCATGTGCTGCTTATGCAACAGTTTAGGTGATTTCTACTTTTTCATGTTTTAATGAAGACGTATTAGTGATTATCTAGTGGAGTATCAAAACTGTTAACCAAGTTGCTGATAAGATTATAAATGCCACCTGTACTCAGCAACAGAGCATCAGCAGCCTCTATGCTGGTACAACTGTTTTTCAAAATTCAGAAGGTAAGAAGCATTTCCTCCACAGTGGGATGCTCAGGGTGTTCACAGAGTTGTCTCTGTAAGTTGGTAGGATGACAGCTGGGTACCTTTCAGTCCTTAACTCAGTAAATAAAGAGATTTTTTAAACCACAGCCTGAACATTTCCCAAGACTATATTTTCTTAACCACACTGTTCCACTGGATTTGACAGTAAGTTCAAATACGAGTCAACTCAGAGGACCACAATTTCAAAAGTGGTCTTTCAGTTTGTTCCTGGAAATATATGGTTGCACGTGCATTTTGGGTAACTGCAGGCATAGCTTCTCATTTACACTTTCAATTACCTTATTTTTACAGGCAATCAGGTGCACACACAAATTCAGAGGCCACTTTTTGAAAATATGGCCCAGAAAGTGATTTTAAGAATGGTTAAAATCTCTGCCAACAGCCAGTATGAACCAATATTTTGTCAGCAAAGCGTATCAAAAAACTTTCATGATGTTCATTTAATTTCATATACAGCCTCCATTTACATATAAGAATTCTAAAAGTGAAAGTGAAGGACTATTTCATAAGCTATATATAACAACATAGCTAAAAATGTTTATATAAAGAGTAAAACTGATCATAGATTCCTTTGCAAAAATTATAGCGGTTGAATTCACTAGTGCACATGCATTTACAACTGCAAGATAAAGTATTATAATAAGGTGGTGATTATTATTCCACAGATACACATCGACAGACACACAGTTTATTTTCTTTCCTGACCTTCCTTTGCTGTTTCTCCCATGCTGGGTCCAGGAGCATGTCCCTATCCCATTCTTCCTCTTGGATCATATACTCATCATCTTCATACTCGTAGCTGTACTGCATACTTGTTTCTATCTGGTTCATATTGCTCAAGGACCAGATTCAACTCTACACTTGCTGTGGCTTTTATTACTTGATTTTTATTATTATTTTTTACTTTTTTCTTTGAGTTCAGGCAGTGGTGTTTTCCCTGCTTCCTTCTTTCTTTTTTTCTTTTTTCAAGGTGAGAGGGTGTTAATATTGATGAGTCTTGCTGTCAGGACAGGTTGAAGCTGTCAGGATACAGGTATGAGCTGAACTGTGATGACCTTCACTCCCCTCCCTCCCTCTCTGCTGCTGCAGGTTCCTGTGGCTGAGTCTCCAGAGAAGCCCCGGCTCCAGCTCACTGCTGCTGCTTATTATCCCCACTGTGTCACGTGGCTCAGCAGCCTGGACTATCCCCCACCTTTCTCAGTCTCTCGTTTGCAAGTTGCAAGGCAGACCTTCAGCCTGATCAGCAGAAGCAGAATGATCTGTTGGTATACAGAAGACTATGCAATTTTGCATTTGCTAGTAAGTGTTATTAAACCGTTACACAAATACATGTAGGTATTTATTGTGCAGAGAAGAGCAATGATTTATCTACAGGAGTGAAGTCTAATCAAGGAAATTCACCTCTGTATACAGTCTCTGTTCAGTGGCTCTGAACATTTTCTGTGGTTTGCATTATTGTCTTTTTTTCTTTTAATTGCACTCAGAAACTGTTGAAGTTTCATCTTTTTATATTCGGTGCATGCATCTGTAGTTTGGAGAGCTGGTTACAATTTATAAATTAAAAAACAGAATCAAGATATATTACACACACACATAAACACCACATTACTTACCGTTGGTCCAAAGCTTCAAGGCCCTTGATTCACTTCTCACTTCACCTCCTCTCCCTTTTTGAAAAGATTCTCATGAGTCACTAAAGAAAAGCATTTATCAAGAGAAAACAAAATTACTAAATAGATCAGGACTGGAATATAAACTAGAGAGACTAAAAGCCAGATCTAGCAAAGCGCTGAGCACTCTCAACTCCCACAGAAATCAATGGGAGGCAGAGGATGTTCAGCACTTTGCAGGATCTGGCCCCCTGGTTAGAATGAGACAATTATAAATTAATGACTGCTAAGACAATAATTTGGAAAAAAAGTCTTTTGGAAAATTCCGCGGGGAACCTTTTTGTTCTCAGTATGGTGCATTGTGAACAATGAAAACACAATACAGACAGGCACATCCCATGCTTTCCATGTCATATCATTTTAATTTTCCTGTGAGGGAACATTTCTCTTGGGAACTGGCAGGCAGGTTTACTTTGTTCTTCATCTAGTCTATTATTAAACACTCACCTAAGTATTGCCAGCTAAGGTCATCCCTGTGCTAGTGCTTGTATTGGACACAAACCTATCCTCATCTACGAATCATAGAATATTAGGGTTGAAAGAGACCTCAGGAGGTCATCTAGTCCAAACCCCTGCTCAAAGCAGGACCAACACCAATTAAATCATCCCAGCCAGGGCTTTGTCAAAGCCCTTTATCAAAGAGAGAATGCTCTGCAAAATTGACCCCAAATAAACGAGGTCAGATTTGGGGCCACTGAGATGCTATGAGTGAACTACAAGGGTGTATGTAACATTAGGAAGTCCACAGCCTATAGTCAGTTATCCCAAAGGAACACAGTTTAGAAATATGCACATTATTACTATGCTGACATATTTTGTGATCATTTTATTTATAAATATACACATACACACACACACAATTTGTATAGTCATCTGGGTTTTGGTATTTACATGGTAACTTTAAATATTTCAAAACCCAAATGAAAAGCACTTTTTTCTAGTCATTAAGCACTACAGGAGAAGGTTGATGTTTACAGATGAAAAGTAGGCAAAAATTCCATTAGGAAATTCTTTTTAATAAGCAAATTATGGGAAATGTTGACACCCCGTGTTTCTAAAACTTCTCAGTAATTTGTATCAATCTTTCCAGAAAACATCTTCCCTTGGATAAAATGTAGCAAGTGAAATTTCTGGTGAAGTTAGGGGGTGAGTTTTTAACATCAGGCTAATGGCTCTGACTCAAAGTACTTAGTGTTTGTTTAAATAATTTGCTGTCTTAGGACCTTCATCAGGAAGCTAGCTTCAGTCTTCATTACGGTGAGTCTACTAGTAGTGCCCCTTAATAATTCTACAATTAAACTATTTTTTAAAAATATTTTAAATAACTTTATATGACATACAATAAAAGTAGGTGAATAAATAGCGACAAATATTTGTATTGAGAATATTAGGTATAGTCATTAACTATATGCAATTGCTTAACTGTATTCAGAAATCATTAGAATACTGTATATACAAAAGTAACAGACAAACTGTATTACAAGAGAAATGGGGAGTCATCCATCAAGAACTAAACTAGGGTCTCTGAGGGTCCTTGCATGTTGGTGGTATAGTCAGCTGTGTTCTACAGTCTCGATTGGAGCGGATGGAAATTTTTCTTTCTAAACTTTTACAACAGAAAATTGGAGTTTTCGACAAAACCATTTTTTCCCCCACAAAAAGTACCTGCTTTCTGTGGACATTTTTGATTTTTCATAGAAAAAGCAAATACCCAAAAAACAAAATATTTTTATTCCGATATCCTACTGTGGTGTTTCATGGGAGTTGCAGATCTATTTCTTCACGTCCCCATTCACAACTATGGGCCAGGCTATCTAGCCAGACTACATCTCCCATGATGTACTATGGCCAGGGACTCCCAGTACAACCACTTCCCCTTACATGAAAGGAGACTATGGTGCTTCATAGGAGATAGGGTGACCAGATAGCAAGTGTGAAAAATCGGGACAGGGGGTGGCGGTGGGGTAATAGGAGTCCATATAAAAAAAAAAGCCCCAAATATCGGGACTGTCCCTATAAAATTGGGACATCTGGTCACCCTAATAGGAGATGTTGTCTGAGCAGGGACAACAGCCTATAGAGGAGAACAGGAACATAATGTACCTGAACTACAACTTCCGTGAGCCAGCATGGCAGCATTTCCGAATCAAAATATTTCTGGTTTTGATTTTTTGCCAAAAATTAAATTTTCAGCTAAAAAAGCCTATTTTGTGACCAGTTCTAGTCTCCATTGATAGAATCATTGCCCATCAGAATGAACAGATATCATGACTTGGAATAAGGTGACCTAAAAATGTGATACGCTGGATCTGGGAATTATATTTTATATCTAATGACAGAAGGCAACTGTTTTGTGTTTGATGTAACTGAAAAAGTAGAATTACCATATCCTTGTCTTTTTAATCTTTGTAACAATCATCCATCATCATTTATAAAGCACCCTCTGCAAAGGCACTCAGGGTGCTGAACAACAATCTTAAAAACAATTTCTCATTAATAAAAAGAGGGTTACGTTGGATCATGATTCCCCTGGCTGCTTGATATGGAAGAGATGGAAATAATGGAATGTGCTCACAGTACCGTTGAAGGCAGAGAGTGGAACCAACACACCAGTGCCCATGCCTTATCTGAATTTGCAGAAGCCCTCCAAACAAATGCCACATGGCGGGGACCGCAGGTCGGAGGGCCAGACAGGCAAAAAACCCACCCTGTCTCCATGGCTGTGAGGCAGGGTGCAGGTACCTATGGAAACAGCACCTGGAGGGGTTGGTTCTAATCACAGAAAGCCCATGCTTTAGAAAGCTGAGATGAGTTCCCCCAGGATATGTGGGGTTTCAAGGCAATGACTTATGACTCCTACACAAGGCTTTAAGTACTTTACCCCCTGAAGGGAGCATGCCTGACAGATTCCACAAGTTTCATCTTGTTGTGTTCCCCCTTCCTGTGGGTTTTACCCCACAGAGGTACATTTAGCCATTATGTCTGTGTAATGAAAGACTGCAAGATGGGCTGGGTGGTGCATTAGTTTAGTACAATAGGCTTTAACTTTTGGAGACTTAGGTTCAAATCATCCCACTTTGTCTTCTGCATTGAACCATGTAATAATTTGGCATGAATGGGAGCATCTGTTAAAGAGAGGCCTAGGAGCAGAATAGTAGTGAATTGGATGTTTTAGGTCCAGGATTAATTTTTGTGGTCAGAAATATATGGGTAGTATGTAGTGTAGGCCAGATAAAATGGGGAGGGTTGGGCACACAACTAACCACTTAGCCCCATTAAAAAAAAAAAAAAAAAAAAAAAAAAAAAAAAAAAAAAAAA